CTGAGTGCTGGGATTACAGGTGTGTGCCACTACACCTGGTTCCCCTCTCCCTTTTGGTGGCAAAGGTTACCATTTACAACCTGGAACTGCCTGCAGCTCTGCACTGGTATTAGCACTAGAGAGAATGAAATCAACCAAGATAGAAATGAAAATAAAATCATAAAAAAATAATAAAATAAAATCATACATACATGCACACATGCACACTCACATGCACATTTACATGCACATAGGCAAAGGGACTCAAACTCTGTGACACATGAAATTAAGGTCAGACACACCCTAGCCCTTTTTATGATTTGGTAAAATAACTGACAATTTAAAAAATATTTTTGGGCTTAATTTATTTCTGTTAGTTATGTACCAAAAGGACCTGATTACTACAAAGTCTATACCATTTATCTGTATATTTGCTAAATTAATCCAAAAAGTTGGCATATCCATCTTATTCCCAGTACACCAGGAAATTGAAAAAAAATAGAAATAGAGAATCAAGAATGTAAAAATATAATTAGAGAAAAGCAAAGCTCAGGAATAAGAATATAAATATGTAAGTATGTAAGGTGCTTTCATGATTGAATATCAAATTTGGCTCTGAGCTTCCTGGCAGCCAAAGTAAAAAGAGAGGTGTAGTAACTATTTTTCTTTCTAGACCAGATGGAACAAACAAGTTCCTCAGTGGAAAGAAATTATTTTCTAGGCTTACTTCCAAAGGAAAACTTTCTGATGAAGCTGTGTGATGGGTAGAGAACAACGCTAGCTGAATTCCAGCAGTCAGTCTGTAATGAGCCTCCTTTCTACAATGAGTCCTTGGAGAATGGACCTAGGGAACCAGTAAGGTTGCCAGATTTAGTTGTTAATTCTCAGCTGGCCTTACCTCGACCTCCCAGTGGCTCTTGTCACAGTCCCTCACTGTCCTCCTGTTTGAAATGCTTTCATCTCTTGACCAGGAGCCCTCACATTCTCAGAAGTCTGCTTACTCACTTGCCACTCTCCTCTGGTCTCCACGGCCACATCTCCCTGATCTCTTCAGGCTTCCAGCCTCTCTCTCCTCCTTTTCCTTGGCTCCCCTCAGCTGATTCCTCTGATCTGTCTCCTGGGCCAGTCCTACCTCTGCCCTGAAGCTCCAGTTTAGGTTGTCTTTAGCAGGCAGAGAGAACAGGGAAGCTATACCCGGGCCATTTCCCCACAGTATTATGATCACCTGCAGTCACTCAACAACTCTGTTAAAATGCCTAGTTTTAGCCCAGCATGTTGGTACATACCTATAATCTCAGCACTTGGGAGGCTGAGGCAAGAGGATTGCCAGGAGTTCGAGGCCACCCTGGGCTACATCGTGAGTTCAAGAACAGCCTGGACTACATAGAGACACCCTGTCTCAAACAAACAAGCAAACAAACAAACAAGAAACAAAATACTCAAAAATCAGCGCCCCCCCCCCCCATAAAATGCAGTTTTGAGTAGTGGCCAAATCTGTAAACTTGATTTAGAATGCCATATTCTCTTCTGTGGCCATTTTAGGCCCTATGGATGAGGAAGGAAACTGGGTGGGTGGGGTCTTTGCCCCTCCTCCCCCACCCCTAAAACTTGCACCACTGTAACTATAGCTATGGGCACAGGTTGGAAGGAAGTGCTTGCTTGTTTGGCATCAGTATAACTTGGCTTCTCACTTTCTAAGTGGGAGTGCTGAAGGCTGACTCCTGCTTATTGGTACTTTTAGGGATTCCTAGAGCCCCTTTATGGATGCCATTCCTGGGAAGCAGGCAGGATCCCATTCCAGCTGGTATGGTTCTCTCCTGACAGGCATGCACAGACCCACTGACTGTAGTGGGCACCCTGCAGTGGAAAACACAGGCCCCAGGAAGGATTCACCTTTCCATTACCAGCAGTACCAGTGGCTGGTTCCCACTGTGGGCCCCACTGTACCGCTGACCTGCTGGGCTATGAGGACTACAGCCAGCCTCTCTCTCCAGCTCATCAGGAGGCCTCCTTGAAGTGCTTCACACCAAATGTGGGATTAGAAGTCAGTTCCAGCCCAGGGCCTTAGCAGGACAGCGGCCCTTGACAAATCAAAGTTATTGCCAACTTCCTTCTTCAAGAGCTTTCAAGAGCTGGGCCAGGGATTTAGCTCAGTGGTTCTGCCACCTGCCTCAAAAGTGCAAGGTTCTGAGTTCTATCCCTGGTACCAAAAAAACAAAAGCAAGAGCTTTCAAGAGCTGATAAGTCCCAGCAAGTTGGGAGGTTGAGGCAGGAGTATCTCCACAAGTTGAAGGCCAGCCTGAACTACATAGCAAACCTTGTTTCAAAAAAAAAAAGGGCAGATAAGTTTTTCAAGAGTGGTAAAGTGGGTTCTGTGATGCTTTATTTTGGGTCTTAGCTTCACTGGGTTGAGGAACACGCACATCGAGGGTGTTTCTGAGGAGTTCAGCATATAAGTCTGAGGCTTCTGTAGGGTGGTTGTTGGGGAACCTGCCCTGAGGGTGGGTGGGCACCAGCTGGATGGAACCCTGAGAGAACATACAGAAGGCAAACTGGCCTTGCTCAGAGCTGGGGCAGGTTCCACTGCTGCTGCCTTCAGAACTCCAGGCCTTCAGACTTACCCCAGAGGGTCCTGGGCTCTCAGGCTTTTGGCCTTGGCCCAAGATTTACAACATTGGCCTTCTCAACGTGGCCTAAGCCACCACTAGCATCCCAGAGCTCCAGGAGTACCTAAAGAAAGGCAGCAAAGCCGGATGTGGTGGCGCATGCCTGTAATCCCAGCACTTGGGAGGCTGAGGCAGGAGGATCGCTGTGAGTTCAAGGTCAGCCTGGGCTACATAGTGAGTTCAGGTCCAGCCTGAACTAAAAAGGGAGAGCCTGCCTCAAAAAAAACCAAAAAAAAGAGAAAGAAAGGCAGCAAAGCAGAGGGACAAAAACTCTTATGTAGAATCATGATGCAAAATCATGTAATGAATAATGTAATATACAATAAAAGTCTTCTAAAAATTAAATGTCTATTGCTTGAAAGCGTCTTCTAAGAATTAATGAAATTGAACCAAGTGATGCAGTGATTCAAGGAATGCTCTACTCTGAAATTTTTCTTGTTGAGTTTACTGGATTTAGGGTTCAATTGACCAAAAGATGCCTGAGAAATTTGTGACATACCTATTTCTGGGAGTTTTCTCTAAAGGTTTACCTACCAAAATATGTATGAAGTAAGCTACTTATTCCATTATTGGGCTGGGAATGTAGCTCAGTGATGCCGTGCCTGCCTGGCAAACACAAGGTCCTGAGTTCGATCCCCAGTACTGAAAACAAACAAACAAAACAAAACAAAAAACCAAACAAATATTGCTTACAAATGTAATATATTGGTAACCCTATAAATTTCCATAAGTTTGCCGGCCATGGTGGCATACACCGGTAATCCCAGCACTCAGGAGGCTGAGGCAGGAGGATCACTATGAGTCCAAGGCCAGCCTGGGCTACATAGTAAGTTTAGGGCCAGCCTGAATTCCATAGTGAGACCCTGTCTCAAAAACAAACAAACAAAAATTTCATAAATTTAAGTTTGGTTGAACTATAGTACAGTATAGTAATCCACAAAATGGATTACTATGGTACTATGCAAGTTTTGGATTACAAGAAGAAGGAGAAGACTAAGAAGCAGAGGGAGGAGGAGGAAAAGGAGGAGAAGGAATAGAAAAGAAGAGAAGGAAAAAGAGGGAAAGAGGGAGTGGAGCGGAGAGGAGGAGCCAACAAACTAGGAGGAAGAGGTTAGAAGGAAGGAAGAGGAGAATTAAGATTCAATCTATCTCAAGATGTAGATCAGAATAGAGTGGAAGAAAGGGTTGGAAGTTGGAATAGATTCTTGTTCTGCTACATTTTTCTATAATTTTGACTCTATTTCTATATAGTTTTGCCTTTTTTTTTTTTTTTGGTACTGGATCGAACTAAGGACCTTACACTTGTGAGGCAGGCATGGCGCCACTGAGCTAAATCCCTGGCCCTATTTTTTTCATGTTACATTTTTTAAAACTAAATAAATAGGAATGGGAAATTCGATATAGAATATATATACAACCAAAGGAGTGCATTTTAAATGAATGGGATAATCACACTGAAGAAGAGGGATTTTAACATTCTAATTAGATTTTGAACATGGTAGTTTGATTATATATTCTAAATAAAACAACAGTCAGTACAAATCAATCTTAAGTTAGTCAGGGTTTTGGGGTGGTTTTTTTTGGTACTGGGGATCGAACTTAGGACCTTGTGCTTGCAAGGCAGGAGGTGGAACCACTGAGCTAAATCCTCGGCCCTAGTCAAGGTTTTTGTAAATATGGAGTTAATAATTATGAAATCTTTCAATTTATTTTTAGATTAAGTAATTGAGTAAATATGATTAGAGTTCGAGGTATGTGTTAGTCAGCTTTTGATCACTGTGGCAAAATACCTGAGATAAACACCTTAAAGGATGAATGTTTGATTTTGGCTCCTGGTTTCCATTTATGGTCACTTGGCCCTGTGGCTTTGAGTCTATGGCAATGCTGAACATCATGGTGGAGAGTGTGGAGTAGAGCAAAGCTACTCACCTCATGGCAACTGGGAAGCAGAGAGAGAGAAAGAGACCAGGGTCCCAATATCCCCTCAAGGTCATGTCTCCAATAATTTAATTTCCTCCCACGAGGCCCTACCTTCTAAGGATTCCACTACCTCCCACTGGTGCCTCAGGATGGGGACCAAACCTTTAGCATACAGGTCTTAGGGAAATAGGGAAGATATCAAGGTATCAGTATGAACTCATGAATTCTCATCTCTCAATATATAAATAGCTAGATAAGTTTGGCAATAGATAGCACTGTGAAAATAAAAAAAAACTAGTATAATCTTCACCTTTGGGGGATTTTTTGGTTGTGTATATATTATTATTTTTGTCTTGTTTGTACTTAGCTTCTTAACCTCTTCCCCTACACAATTACAAATTAAGGAACTGTTGCCCTTCTCTGTTTTCTTTCCAGGATCACCAGTGGCCTTCGGGGTTTAATCACTTTGGAGGTTCCAAGTTCTCAACAGTCTCCTCTGTGTGACTTCTCAGCTCATCCTCACCCTGGACCCTGTGCCATCCAGTGAGATTTATACTGAAGTTACAAGTGTCAGGCAGAATTGGCCTCTCTGAAAGCACTTCCACTTTTTCTGGGATCTTACCTTTAAGGCCTACCTGCTTGGCAGCTGTCCAGTACCTTTTAAGAGATAAGTTTTATATGCCACGTAGCTTCTGGAGCTTTCCTTGATTAAAGCATTTTTCTGTTACAAACTTTTTCACTATAGTCTGAGCATAATCTTAAAGACAATATGTATTTCACCACTGAGTTGAGATTTAGTTATTATACTACTGGTGTATGATAGTGATTAAGTATATGTGTTCCCAGACTCTGGGTCTACATTCTAGGTTCATCTCTTACCATGGCCTCAGGCAAATGTTTTTATCTAAAGATTTTATTTGTACAGTGGGGATATTAAGAGTGACTGTCCAGGGACGGGGATTTAGATCAGTGGTCCCACTGCCTGCCTCACAAACTCAAGGTCCTGAGTTCAAACCCTGATACCAAAAAAAAAAAAAAGAATGACTGTCCCATAGGATTGTTGTGGTGCACATGCACTTTCAAATACAAACTACTTCTGGGCTGGGGATTTACCTCAGTGGTTCCGCCATCTGCCCTGAAAGCGCAAGGACCTGAGTTCGATCCCCAGTACCAAAAACAAACAAACAAACAAACTACTTCTGTCGCCATTAAATACAAGCAATAAATTGTACCTGAGATGATTATTATTATTTTTGAGACAGGTTCTCACTACATAGTTCAGATCGGCCTCAAACTCATGGTGATCCTCTTTCCTTGGCCTCCCAAGTACTGGGATTGCAGGCGTGCACTGCCATGCCCAGCTTCTACCTGAGATTCTTGCAATTGCCATTATTCGTCTTTGTCATACATTGACCCCAGTTCAAATAAGGGTTAACTTTAGCTTCCAGGAGTTTTGAAACGGATGGATCCATGACTGCACAAAAACATATATAGTCTTCAAATATTTACTGTGAAAAATTAATGTAGTTTTACTTTGAACTGAATATTATTGCACTTTAAAAAATTACTCATTGGGCCAGGGATTTAGCTCAGTGGTGCCACTGCCTGCCTCAAAGCAAGTGCAAGGTCCTGAGCTCGATCCCGATACAAAAAAAAAAAATTACTCATTGAATAACTGAATTTAAAGTCATGTTTTTATGTGGTGTATATTTCAAGAATTATAGAAATATGGGACATGTGTGGCATATTATCATCACAAAAAAGCTCACTAGGAGGTTGCTTATTAAAAGTCACTCATAAAAAACCCTAAAGGAGGAATTTTGGGGGAAAGGCAGCATAAAGAAATGCACTAGAAGACTCTGTCCAAAGTACAATTTCCATCCTCTTGTCTCAGCCTCCCTCGGTGCTGAGATTACAGGTGTGCACAACCTCACTCAGGTGTTATTTTTTTAATTAGGAAAAGAAGAAAAGTTTGAATAAAATAGAATTTTAAATGGCCTTTAAGGAGTAACTAAGGTGGCTAAAGCAATATGCAGACCAATGACTGGCAAAGGGACTTCTCAGCCACCATAATTGCATGAGCCAATTTCTCTAAAAAATCGCCTCTCATATACCTAGATACATATCCAGTTGGTTCTGTTTCTCTGGAGAATGCTAATAGAGCTTCTTTCCTTTTATTTTATTTTTTATTTTTTGGAATTTTTTTTTGTTTTGGTACTGGGAATCGAACTCGGGATCTTGTGCTTGCAAGGCAGGCAGCAGAACCACTGAGCTAGATCCCCAGTCCTATTTTTTGGAATTTTTGAGACAGGGTCTCACTGTGTGGTTTAGGCTGGCCTTGAACTGATTATATAGCCCAGGCTGGCCTCAAACTCACAGCAATCCTCCTGCCTCAACCTCCCATTGCTGGAATTACAGACATGCACCACCATACCCGGCTTATTTCCATTTTCTTTAAAATTGCATACAGTATTTTGACCAGCAGCAACTCATTTTGGGATTCCTCATTCTATCCTGCAGCCTCAGTGGCAATTTCCAATCCCTTGTCATTCTTTTCCTCACCTTAAGATAAACCCAGAGGGCCAAGGATTTAGCTCAGTGGTTCCGCCACCTGCTTCACAAGTGCAAGGACCCGAGTTTGATCCCCGGCACCAAAAAAAGAAAAAAAAAAAAGATAAACCCAGAATCCTTCCCATGGCCCCCAGGCCCCACAGGACCTGATCACTGTGGAGCAGAGGTTTAAAGTAACAAAATACCAGAGAACATTATAAATAATTGTATGTGAGCAAGCATAAAAATGTTAAGCAAAGTGAATACATTTCTAGAAAAATGTGAACTGTGCTGGGCACATTGGCAATACCTATAACCCCAGCTGCTAGGAAGATTGAGGCAGGAAGATCTCAAGTTCAAGCCCAACCCAGGCAAGACAGTGAGACTCTGTCTCAAAATAAAATAATTTAAACTAGGTATGATGGCACACACATGTAATCCCAGCCCTTGGGAAGCTGAGGCCGGAAGATTGCCCCGAGTTTGAGGCCAGCTTGGGTTACATGGTGAATTGAAGGCCAGCCTGCACTACCAACCGAGACACTCTCAAAAAACAAAACAGGGGGCCTGGGGATTTAGCTCAGTGACACCGTGCCTGCCTTGCAAGTGCAAGGTCCTGAGCTTGATCCCTGGTACCCAAAAAAACAAAACAAAAAGTTATTAGAGTCAGGGATTTAGCTCAGTGGCGCTGTGCCTGCCTTGCAAGCACAAGTTCAATCCCAGGTACCAAAAAAAAAGATATTACATATTTCACAAAGATCCATTCATTTTTCAGTGGAACAGGGGTTAGATCAAAGAAAAAAGAAAAAAAAAACCAAAAAACTAAACCAAAACAAGAAGGTGGCCTTGTACCCAGTGATGCTGCTTATATGGTATGAGATAAGAAATACAATAAACTCATCTCTATGCTCCTGAGAACCAAAAAAGGGCACACGCAAAAGATAGGTTCCACCTCCTGCCCCGAAAGCCCAAGGACCCGAGTTTGATCCCTGCTAAAAAAAAAAAAAAAAAAGGACACAAACGGGCAGCTCACAAGGAAACACAAATGGCCTGTCAAGAAGGAAAATGCAGGGCTGGGGATATAGCTCAATGGTTCCAGCGCCTGCCTCGAAAGCACAAGGTCACAAGTTCAATCCCCGGTACCAAAAAAAAAGAAGGAAAATGCAAAAAAACCCAAAAAATAAACCAGGGAAAATGCACTGGGAGGCTGCACTGGGAGGCTGAGGTAGGAAGATCTTGAGTTTAAAGCCAGCCTGGGGTACATAGTAAGACCCTGACTCAAAAATGCCAAAAAGAGGAAAAAGAAAGAAAATACAAACTGGGTGTGGTGGTAGCCTTTGCCTGTAATCCCAGCTACTCTGGAGGCTGATGCAGGAGGATCATGTGTCCCAGGCCAGCCTGGGCAACTTAGCAAGACTGTCTCAAAATAAAAATAAAAAGAGCTAGGGATGTAGCTCAGTAGTAGAGCTGCTTGCTGAGCATGCTAAAGTCCTCTCCAGTACTAAAAAAAAAAAAAGAGAGAGAGAGAAGAAGGAAAATACACATAGCTCACAAGTAACACAGGGAAATCAATTCTTAGCAGCAATTGAGAATATTTGTCATGTATGTATCAGATTAGCAAAGATTTTATGTATTTATTTAAGTTTTTTGAGACAGGGTCTCACTATGCAGTTTAGACTGGCTTTGAACTCATTATGTAGCCCAAGCTGGCCTCGAACTTTCAGCAATCCTCCTGCCTCAGCCCCCTGAGTTCTGGGATTACAGGCATGCGCCACCACACCTGGCTAGCAAAGAAAATTATAATATACCTTTGCTGGTGGGGGGATAAATACTTGATGGAAATGTATGTTGATGGAGCATTCAGGGAAAGTAATAGGACACTTTAAAAATGTAAATTGCTTACAGCCAGCAAGTCTGTTTAGAGACACTTATTGCAGAAAGGCCCATTTACCAGAATGTCCAGGAGGTGAAATGTCTGCAGAAAGGAATGGGTGGGGTGGGGTGTTGTGATTCTGTTTGACAGGATGAAAAGGTCAAGATATTATGCCAGTAAAGATGAGGTAGCTTGGTCCGGGGATTTAGCTCAGTGGTTCTGGCACCTGCCGCACAACCGCAAGGTCCCAAGTTCAATCCCCAGTACCAAAAAAAAAAAATGAGGTGGCTCTGTATGTACTGACATAGAAAGAAGAACATACCACATCAGTGAAGGAAGAATGAATGATCCCAGTTTTACTGAAAAAAAAAAATGCAGGTTTATACACATAGCTATATATAAAATCACAAGATGGCTGGGCATGGCAGTGCCCAGCACTCTGGGAAGCTCAAGAAGGCAGGAGATTGCAAGTTCAAGGACAGCCTGGGCAACTGAGGGACCCTATCTCAAAACAAAACAAAACAAACAAACAAAAGACCACAGGGATGTAGCTCAGTGGTAGAGCACCCTAATACCACAAAAAACCCCAAAACAAGGCTGGGGATTTAGCTCAGTGGCTCCAGTGCCTGCCTTGCAGGTGCAAGGCCCTGAGTTCAATTTCCAGTACCAAAAAAAAAAAACCAACCCCAAAACACACACTCACACAAGTTATTAATTGGCTTAGTCTTCACAATGGCCTTTGAAGACAGATATTATAATGAACCCTACATTGCTCATGGGGCACTGACAGGGACTGAGAGGGACAATATGTGTAGGATCTGGGATTCAAACCCAAGTGCTTCTCCCACACTTCAAGCATGATGCTCTGCTGCCTCTAAATTGTCAGTTATTAGTGACTATCATAACAACAAACATTTATCAAGTGCATTGCTTTTGCGATTTCATTTAGTCGGTAAAGCAAATGTGTGACCTGAATTCATGAGCAGAGAAGAGATCGAAGAGCTGGTAAGGCGCTAGACAGGCCACCAGCCCCTGCCTGTCCACCTCGGGCTCATCCCATCTCAGTGGTCAGCACAGGCAACTCTCAGGACTTAGCACCCCAAGTCTGTTGGCAAGGCTGAGGAGCGTGGATGAGAGTGAAATGCTGTTGTTCCCTCCAGAGCCTCCTGATTTGCCTTTTGCCTCTCCTGGGCATAGCACTCATCTTCCTGGTCTTTCCTATCCTGTCAGGGGCTGGAGGGCAGGAACTTTGAACAAGATCTCAGGAGAGTTTTGTTTCGCTCTCACAGGCCCTCAGGCAGGGCTGGGGCAGGCACAAGGACAGGGCCTTCTGCAGGCTCTAGCTGGGCATCTTTTGGGCTCTGAGGACCCTTCAAGAGGGCTGAGCCACAAGATCTCTTTCAAAAGAGAGATGCGGAGGGCCGGGGATTTAGCGCGGTGGTTTTGCCACCTGCTGCACAAGCGCAAGGACCCGAGTTCGATCCCCGGTACCAAAAACAAAAAACAAAAGAGAGATGGGGAAACATAGGTCAAGTAAGGGTGGAAGGCTTATACCAAGTCACACAGGGGTCAGCAGCAGAGCCAGGACATGGCCCTGGATCTCTAGACTTCCAGGCCTGACTGTTCCTTGAATTGTCCTGAACTCTTTTCTCCTGGAAGGAAGTCAGCTTTCCTTACCTGGCTGACCCTCACCTGTCCTGCTTTTTGCCAGATGCCTTAAGACTGGCCAGGGACCAGTTGCCATAGAGATGGCTCCAGAGGACAGTTCCAGGGCTGGCAGGTGGAGGCAGGGGATGGAGCAGGACACCAATATGCTAAACACCCAGCTGCAGTTGGTCAGGGCTACATCAGGAGGAGCCACGCAGGATCTGAGGCCTCAGGCTCCAAGGACATCCATGGGGCTGCTCAACCTTCTGTCAAGGATCCCTCAGGCGGAACAGGTGAGGGCAGGGGCTGGGGTCCAACTGCCCACAGGCAAGAAGGCACCTGGGGCCAGGGGAAGCAGGGCTGGGGGAGGCACTTGAGAAGCCACAAGGTTGGGGCTGAGGCTGGGATGACAGTCAGGGAGGCCTCATGGTAGGGAAGCCTGAAAGATGGGGAGTAAAGATGAGGAATGATGGAGTGATTTAGGGCACACTGTAGGGCTGAAAGGGTTTCCAGAGGGAAAATTAGTGCCTTCCACTTTGGCTGTAGCAAGTCCAGAGCCTTGTAGGACATTTAGAAGAGCTATCCTTTTTTGTAGCCCAGGCTGGCTTCCAACTCAGTGATTCTCCCGCCTCTGTCTCCGGAGTGCTGGGATCACAGGCGTGCGCCACCACGCCCGGCTTATCCAATTTTTAAAATTTAAATGTTTTATTTATTTTTTGACTGATTCTCATCTTAAAAATGTATTTATCTAGCCAGGCATGGTGGTGCTCATCTGGAATCCCAGCACTCGTGAGGCTGAAGCAGGAAGACAGCTGAGAGTTCGAGGCCAACCTGGGCTACGTAGTGAGGTGGAGGCCAGCCTGAACTACAAAGGGAGACACTGTCTCAAAAAACAAATGATTTATCTAAAATATTCTATCTTTAGGACAGGAATTTAGCTCAGTGGTAGCACATCTGTCTCGAAAGTGCAAAGTTCTGAGTTCAATCCCCGATACCAAAAAAAAAAAAAATCTGTGTACTAGAGATTGAACCCAGGGCCTTCATAGTGATCTAGATCACCAGCCCTTTTTTTTTTTTAATTTGGTACTAGGGATCAGACTCAGGTTCTTATGCTTTCGAGGCAGGCGGCAGAACCACTGAGCTAAATCCCCAGCTCCCCAGCCCTTTTTAAAAATTAATTAGTGTATTGCCTGGTGTGGTGGCCCAGGCCTGTAATTCCAGCATTCAGAAGGCTGAGGCAGGAGGATTACTGTGAATTTGAGGCCAGTCTGGGTTACATAATAAGCCTGGACTTACACAATGAGACCCTATTTTAAAAAAATAAAAATCAACTTAAATAAATAAATAAATAAAATCAATTAATTTTGAGACAGGGTCTCACTAAGTTGCCCAGGCTGGGCTCAAACTTGTGATCATCCTGACTCAGCTTTGCAGAGTTCTGGGATTATAGGCCTGGGCCATCATGCCAAGCTAAATTTAAAAATTTTTAATTGACACATGATAATTGTACATATTATGGGGTACAGTATGATAATTTGATACATATAGACAGTACAATGATAAAATATCAAGGTAATTAGCATTTCCATCTCTTTAAACATTTAACATCTCTTTAAACATTTAACATCTCTTTGTGTTGAGAACCTTCAAACTCCTCGTTTGCAGACCAGTGTGATGGTGAGAAATCTAGACTCTGAAGACCAGGACCAACACGTGCAGGTTACTATCAACTGTGTGACCTCAGCTCTTGGACTTTTTTTGAGACAGAGTCTCTCTATGTAGTTCAAGGTGGCCTTGAACTCACTGGGTAGCCCAAGCTGGCCTCGAAGATGATCCTCCTGCCTCAGCTTACAGACATGCACCACCATACTGGGCTTCTTGGACCTCTCTGAGCCTTGGTTTTCATATCTATGGGGATGATAGAGATAGTCTCCATCTCATTGGACAGGTCTTTGGGAAGATTAGATGTGTTAGTGCCCAAAAGTCCTGCACATGGGGGAGTGCTCAGTTGGGGCAGCTTTCACTATGAGGAATGGAGGCAGTGATTGATGAATCTCAGGGATGAAGAGGGCCCTGGCGAGGGGCAGCGTGGTTCAAAAGGCTGCTCACACCTGGCCTCCTCTCCTGTCCTTGCCTAGGGTGCCCTGAGGAGCGGTGATGTTGTACCAAGTCAGGGCCAGCCAAAGAGGTCTCAGAGCACAGGGCAGAAGACAAAGAAGGACTGCAAGCCCGGGAGGTGGACCAAGAAAGGAAGCTCCACTGAGGCAGAGAAGTGAGCATCTGCGCGTGGGCTGGGAGGGAAGCTGGGGGCCCCGGAGAACCCTGCCCCTAATTCTGACCCCTGCCCTCTTCCTCTTCAGTTCCTTCCCCCGTTCTCCTCAGGAACCCTCCTTCCCATTCCAGTGGGCCTGGGAGAGCTTCATCACAGAGGGCCATCAGGCCCTGGCCCTGCTCCCAGCGGTCCCCCAGCTTAAGACCAGGTGCAAATCCACTGGCAGCCTCCCAGAGCCCCTGGAGAGGAGACAGCAGCTAGGGGCCTGTGGTGGTGCCCCCCTGTCTCCCAGCAAAGGGGAGAACCAAGGGCTGGAGCCATCCAGTGAGTGCGGCCCCCGGCTGCCAGGCAAGAGGTCAGGATCAGGATCAGAGTCCAGAGGGGCTCCCAAGCTGGAAGGTACAGGTGCTGAAGAAGCAGAGAGGGATCTGAGCCCCAGGGAGTGGCCCCAGCTGCCCCCTGGACAGTTGCTGTTGGAGGAGGAGCGTTTCTCAGAGGCAATTGTGGAAACGGAAGAGCAGAAACACCGCACCTCTCACAGAAGAAAGACCTGTTCTTGGAAAAAGGGGCCGAATTCTGGAGAGGAGGCCTTGGAAGAGAAGAAGCTGCAGGCGAGCAGCTCCTGCTCCCACAATCCCCGAGGGCTGCAGAGGGGCAAGTCAAGGGCTCAGGAGCTGGAGGGGCCCTGGGGCCTGGGCAAGCTGCATTGGCAGTTACAGCAAGGCAGCTGTGGTGAGCGCAGCTTCGGGCTGGGCTCTTCAGCAGGGCGTTTACTGTGGGCCAGGCTAGATCGGTGCTGGGTGGGCCTCCCCCTTGGGCCAGGTGAGAGGGTTTCCCTGACTTGCTCCCACTGTGGACAGATCCCCAAAAGCAGCCCTGGAAGGCCTTGCGGCAGGCTGCTGTCCAGACCTCCAACCGGAGAGGGAAGGCCCGTGCCTGGGAACATGATGAGATTTTCTTGTCTGCCAACTTTCCTAATCGCTCATTCCACAAGCGACAGGAGTCCACTAGGTAAGGTGGGGACGGGAGGGTAGGAGCCAAGGATGAGAAATGGAGATGGAGCCAGTTCACCAAAAGACAGTCACTTGTATATTCATTCACTCTATTCTTTTTATTTACCCTATTCTTTACCTATTCATCAATTTTTCTGATTAACCAATCATCTGTTAATCTACCTATCCATCCACCCACCCATCTACTCATCCACCCATCTACCCACCAACCCACCTGTTCCTTCATGGGTCCACCCACCTACTCACCCACTCCCATCCATCCATCCATCCTTCTATCTTTTGATATGTACTCAACAACCCATCCGTCTCTGCCTATTTGGCCAACTGTCTACTGACATAAACTACTTTCCATTCATTTCCCATCTTTTCTTCTGTTTATCCATTAACCTATTAACTGAGTGGTTGTGCAATATATATTGAAGAGATTATCCTTTCCTCATTGTGTTCTTGACATCTTTGTCAAAAATCACTTGGCTGCCAGGCATTTAGCTCAGTGGTTCTGGCACCTGCCTCAAAAGCACAAGGTCCCGAGTTTGATCCCTGGTACCAAAAATCACTTGGCCATTGGTGCCACTGCCTGCCTTGCAAGTGCAAGGTCCTGAGTTTGATCCCCATACCAAAAAAAAAAAATCACTTGGACATAAATGTATGAATTTATTTCTAGACTCTGTATTCTGTTCCACTGGTTTATATGTCTATTTTTATACCAGTACCATATTGTTTCAATTACTATAGCTTTGTAGTATATTTTGAAATCAAATAGTATGATGCTTGCAGAGTCCCTTCCCCTCTTAAGATTGGTTTAGTTCAGTTGGGCAAGGTGCTGCACACCTGTAATCCCAGTTCTCTTGGAGACTGAGACAGGAAGATCATAAATTCACTAGTGGCTTAGTAAAGCCCTACATCAAAGTAAAAAAATTTTAAGGAGGGGATAGAGGTGTAGCTCAGTGCAAAGGCCCTGGGGTCAATTGCCATTGCCCCCCAAAAAGAGTGCTTTGGCTCTTTGGGGTCTTTTGTGGTTCCATATGAACATTAAAATTGTTTTTCTTTCTGTAAAAATGTCATTGGAATTTTGATAAATTACATTAAATCTGATTATTTGGGGGTAGTATGATCCAGCCCCCATTCCCCACAATACTAGGGATTGAACCCAGGGCCTTTGCACTGAGCTACATCCCCAGTTCCTTTTATTATGAGGTAGAATCTCTCTCTTAAACTGCTAAATTGTCAGGCTGGGCTTGAATTTGTAATTGTTCTGCCTCAGCCCCAGCCTGCTGGAATTACAGTCATGTGCCATCACACCTGCCTTGTACCTTGTCTTTTATTTTTTGTTTTAGTATCTTTTTAATTAATTAATTTATTTTTTAGACAGGGCCTCATTAAGTTGCTAAATTGCCCAGGTTGGGCTTGAATTTGGCAATCCTTCTGCCTCAGCCTCCCAGAGTGCTGGAATTACAGGTGTGCACCACCATACCCACATAGACATTTCTAACAGTATTAATTCTCACACAGCCCTCTCAACTTCTTACCCTGTCACCTTTTACAGGAAATCCTCCCCTATTTCTTAGTGCCCTTGTGGCAAAGGCTCCAACACATCACTGATGCCCAATAAATGTACACTGAGCAATGACTGTATCTATCTCCCCCACCTTTTCTGCAGTGCTGGGGATTGAGCTAAAGCACTCACTCACACTGGGCAAGCACCTTATCACTGAGCTACCTCCCTAGGCTTTTAAATTTTGTTGTTGTTGTTGTTGTTTTCTTTGGTAGCAAGGATTGAACTCAGGACCTTGCACTTGCAAAGAAGGCTCAGTGCCACTGAGCTACATCCCTGGCCCTAATTATTTTTTAAATAGGGTCTCACTAGATTGCCCACTAGATTGAACTTGTAATCCTCCTGCTTTAGCCTCCTGAATAGCCAGAATTACAGACTGGCGTGGCCATCACGCCTGGCTTCTCTTTCTTTGTATGTTTGGCTATCTTCTATAGGGCCATGACTCAATTATTCATGAATTCATCAAATAGTGAGTTTATGTATTTTATAAGTGCAGTTTTAGGTGCTGGAAATTCTGTGGCCATGCACAGGACAAGGGACCCGTGTCTCATGAGGATTACATTCTACTTGGGAAGAAGCCTAATTAATAAAGAAATAATGCTGGGTGTGGTGCACTCTCTAGGCTGTGGCAGAAGCATTACCTTGAGTCTTAGGCCTGGGCTATATAGTGAGTTCAAGGCCAGCCTGATCTACATAGTGAGACACTGTCTCAAAAAATAAACAAAAGAAAAGAACAAAATATGTAGCTAGAGATGGAAAATAGCTAGGAAGTAGGGGGGGTGGTCAGGGAAAGTCTGTCTACGACAAAGCTATTTAGTACACATCTGATTGATAAGAAGCAACTGGCCATGAGATTGAGAGAAGAGTATTCCAGATCTGTCTAGCTGCTTTCAGCCACCCACACCTTTCATCCATCCATCCTTCCTTTAATTGATCCCTTTAGCGCTTTCTCATTCCCATCCATTTATCAAGCAGTCTTTCCATCTGTCCAGCTGTGCCTCAAACTGTTAGGCATTAACCTAGTTCCTACCTGATCAGGGGTCAGAGAGAAGAGCAAGGTTTGGCACTCACCCTGAAGGAGAGCTGTTCTGTAAGGGAAATTTCCGAAGAACCCTCTCAGGCTCCTGTACTCCCCTCCCTGGTCGCTTGCTCTCCTGCAGGCTCCTGTTCCTACAGACTTCTCCCCTCTCCTCACCAGGAGCCTGCTGCAGGCTTGGAGCGGCAGGAGCAAGAGGACCTGCAGCAGGCTGAGCTGCGCAGGGCCTGGGAGCAGTGCGTTCAACAGCAAGTGGCCCGCTGCCTAGCTGCCTACGTGCCCCGAAGGAGCCAGCGGGACTGGGCCACCCAGCACAAGCTGGAGGAACTGAGGTAGGAGTGCCAGGCTGCGGAGGGCCTAATGGGATGAGTCGGGGAGGCAGCACTGGGCATTGGGCTGCAGGACCCTAAGGCAAGCCAGCCAGGACACTCAGTCACATTTACAGATGAAAATGCCCAGGAGGAAGGGTCAATCCAAGGTCACCCAGTTAATTACAATAACCCCTTCCGCTGATGAACACTCAAGGTCATAACATTTTGCACATGTTATCACTCTTTCAAATCTTGCTTTTCTTATTTCTAATGCCAGACATGTTTATTATAAAATTTGAATATTATAGAAATAGACAATGTAAACTAGACATGGCGGCACACACCTGTAATCCCAGTACTTGGGAGACTGAAGCAGGAGGATCACAAGTTCAACCCCAGCCTGGTAATTTAGTGACTTAGAAAGACTGTCTGAAAGTTAAAAAAAAATAAAATAAAATAAAAATGTTGGAAATGTAGTTCTGTGCAAAGGCCAGCCACCAAACCAAACCAAACCAAGCCAGAAAAGAATACTTAATGTAGAACATGAACGGCCCTGATGGTCCGATGCCTGGAGATAAAAGTTATGCATAGTCAGGTGGAGTGGCCTATTTCATTCTCTTATATTTTGACTATTTTTCTAGAAAGTAAATTTGTGAGTCATTCATTCATTCATTCATATTGGGGATTGAACTCAGGAGTGCTGAGCTACATCCCCATCTGCCACCCCCCAATTTTGGTTTATTTGAGACAGAGCCTTGCTATGTAGTTCAGGCTGGCTTTGAACTCACCATGTAACCCAGACTACAGGGCTATCCTGCTGCTTCAGCCTCCTGAGTTCTGGGATTATGAGCGTGCACCACCATGCTCAGCTCCCCAGTCTTTTTTTGAATTTTATTTCAGACAAGTTCTTGCTAAATTGCCCAGACTGGCTTCAAATTTGCAATCATTCTTCCTCAGCTGCCCAACTACCTAGGATTGTAGCATGTGCCACCTTTCCCAGCACAGGCAAATATTTGTTTTGTTTTATTCTTTTCAAACAGGGTCTTGCTTTGTCTTTCAGGCTAGCCTTGAACTCATTGTGTAGCCTAGGCTGGCCTTGAATTCACGGCAATCCTCCTGCTTCAGCCTCCTGAGTGCTAGGATTACGGGTGTGCACCACCACACCTGGCCAAATTTCTTTTAAAATTTCTATTTCTAACAGACAGCCAGGTGTGGTGGAGCACACCTGTAATTCCTAGTACTCAGGAGGCTGAAGTGGGAGGATCACTGTGAGTTGGAGGTCAGCCTGGGCTACATAGTGAGTTCAAGACCTGGCTGGACTACATAGGGAGACCCTATCTCAAAATCTGAAAAACAAACAAACAAACAACAAAGGAAGAAAGAAAGAAAGAAAGAGGCACATGACATCATGGGAGAGTATTAATGGCAGCTTGTGATACCTGCCCCACTCCCACCTCAAAATGTGTAACTCCCGTGAATACGCTCTTGAGTGGCGAAAACCCTTTTTTACAGGAACTTGTGTTCCTGGCAATGGGTTCCCAGATCCCATCTTTTTCTTCATGGGGGAAGGTTGCTACCTGGCACCTGGCCACAGGGCCTAGCATAAATATCTCAGGTCTCACTGACTGCCCCCTCTGCCCTTGGGGGACACCACACCACAGCCTGTGGCCAGTCTCTTATGCTTTACTGAAGGACACCTGGTCCTGTGATGGGTGTGGCCAAAAGGCCCTTGGCTCTCTTTATTAAAGCAGTCACTCAGCTAATTAAGGAGTTGCATTTCTTTCCCTTTTGTTCTTCTTTTTCTTCTCCTTCTATGACAAGGTTGTGCTATGTAGTCCAAGCTGGACTTGAATTCACTCTGTGTCCCAGGCTGGCCTGAAATTCTTAGTGATCTTCCTGCCTCAGCCTCCTGAGTGCTGGGACTGCAAGTGTGTGCGGCACTGTGCCCAGTGTAGTAGTCACATTTCTGACAAATGCACAAACTGGGTTTCTGTAAATGGGAACTGCTTCCCCATCGGAGCCCAGACCCTCCCAGGATGTGTTATTTGCAACACACTTCTCTGGTTACTCTGTCCCATTTCCTAAGCTCCCTGCTTATAAGAAGCACAGAGAACACTGGCAAGCTTGTCTGCTTCCTGCTAGAGCACAGCAACGAAAACAGCTCAGAGCCCAGAAAAAGGCCTTCTCAAAGTCACACAGCCATCAACCACAGTGTCCTCCTCAGAGCTGCAGTGTGCAGGGGAGCAGGCAGTGAACTGCAGGGCGGGGCAAGCTGTGCAAGCAGTGCTGGGCTTCTTCTCTGGGGATGGCTGGGGGGACCTTCGATTCACCATCGGTGCACAGCCTAGACTGGGCCTCAGGGCTCAGGTCCCGCTTCCCAGACACACAACCTTAGACAGATCCCTCAGCATTCCTGAGCCCCCGGTAAAATGGGCCAATTATTCCAACCCTGGCAGACCTGGGAAAGAATCCAGGGCAGGGATGGAAATGAAATGGCTTTGTAAAGGTCAGAGCAGGGACTTTCATAAACTCCATAGTCAGGACAAGGCCAGTCTGGATGGGGGGTGGGTTGTGTCTATGGTCAGCTGCCCATAGGCCCATCTCACCCACAGGCGCCAGGAACGACAGCGTTTTGCTGAGTACCAGGCAGAGTTGCAGGGCATCCAGCACCGGGTGCGGGCCCAGCCCTTCCTGTTTCAGCAGGCCATGCAGGTGAGGCTGCAGCGCTCCCCTGAGACCCTCTCAGAAATCACAGTCCATGGTGGCCTCAGCAGCCCCAGTGCAGAGCAGGAAGCCCCTCCTCTCTTTCCTCAGGCCAGTGCTCGGCTCACTGTGACCTGGCGCTTCTCCCAGGTGCTGTCGGCACTGGGAGTGGACGAAGAGCAGCTTCTGGCTGAGGCAGGAAAAGGGGACACAGAGGGCACTGCCAGGAAACCCAGGTGAGGTTGGCTGGCTGGCTGGCTAAGGACTGGCTCTCCTGAGCTGCCATGGAAAGGGACACAAACACCGGACTCTGGGTTCTGTAGTTTCCTCTGTGTCACCAGGAAGGTGGGGCTGGGGTTATTCTTCCCACTTCCCCACGAGGAAACTGAAGACCTGAGGACCAGGGCTTTTCTTACAGAATGAATAAGCAGCTGAGCCAGGCTAGGGGTCTGTGGCCATCCGAGTGGCTGCACACCAAGCCATTAGCGGCTGGTGCCATGCTAGTCACACGTACACTGTCCCTTACACTGTAGAATATCCTGGTGCAGAGCAGGGGTAACAAAGACCACTTTGCAAGAAGGAAAATGAAGCTCAAGGAAGGGAAGTCACTCGTGCAGGGCCACACAGCAAGCCAGTGTAGGAGCTGGATTTGAATCTACGGGGTCAGTGGTTTCCTTAGTCATGGGGTAGGGAGCTGCAGAGCCCACTGTTCTCCATCTTGTCTTCAAGGAGCCACAGATCAATGGGGGTGAAAATGAAGCCCTCTTCTCAGAGCCCCCCAAGGAAGGAACCCATCAGCAGCCAGCCTGACAGGCGCTTCTCCCCCAGCCTGGACCCAGAGAATAGTCAAGACAAAAATTAAAGGCCTTGTGGTGAATCCAATGTGAGATTTCTGAGGTATGGAGGAATGGCTGTGGGCTGGGAATAGGAGGTGTCAAGTGCGTAGCAGCAGGCTTAGCTCTATCCCCCCTCCCCCAGGAGCTCTGGCTTTCTGCCTGCCCCCCACCCAGCACACACAGCTTAGTCTCTGCTCCTGAGGAGTAGTGCATTTCTTTTTTGTCTTATATTTTTGTCTTGTATTTTTGAGAAAGCGTCTTGCTACTATGTAGCCCGGCTGACCTTGAATTTGAGGTGCTCCTCCTGCCTTCTGAATGCTGGTATTACAGATGTGCACCACTACACCTTGTGGGTGGGGCTTTTTTTTTTGGTACTGGGAATCGAACTTGGGATCTTGCACTTGCAAGGCAGGTGCCGGAACCACTGAGCTGAATGTGAGTGGGGCATTTTGAAAAGCAACAACTGAGACTTCTCTGTTGTCTCCAACATTTATGCTGAGACCTAGAAACTCAACAGTGAACATGACAGACTGATTTCTGCCTTTGAGGACAACCAGTCCCGTGAGGGAGGGAGGGTTTAAAGGGGTGCACAGAACACATCCTAATGTGCTGAGATGTGTCTCACAGGGAGCCCACAGATGGAGTAGCTGTTGGGTGGGGATGTCAGATTTTGAACCGGGCTTGTTAAGTCCCAGTAATTTTAAATTAAAGCCTCTCTGTGAGCGTGTGTGTGTGTGTGTGTGTGTGTGTGTGTGTGTGTGTGAGAGAGAGAGAGAGAGAGAGAGAGAGAGAGAGAGAGAGAGAGAGAG